TATCTTCTGATTCATGTTTATTTGCTAAGAAAACATTAAGTCCTTGCCGCACACATGTGGGTTTTTGAGGATTTTCAGCCCAAGAGAGACAGTGCAAATGGGATTCAGCTGACTGTAGTGGCAATTTGTTTGTAAATAAATTTTCCATGTACCCACTTGTTCTTCTATAAGCGGGAATACCTTTCTTTTTCCGTTCCTTGCTCTTGTCAGCCATTTTACTAATCTCTTGTCTGAATACTCTGTACCACCCGTTCTGCCCCCTCTCTGTAAAGCTCTCTTTGGGCTTCTCTTTGCCAGGTCTTTCCTAACCCGTCCCCTCTGCTATCTCCTGTGGGACTGGAGGGGCAAGGGATGCTGCTGGCTTTGGCGCCGGCACCGGGAGCTGTTCGCAAGGACAGTCCAGGCATTGCTCAGAATTTATGGGGAATGCAGAGCCGAGCAATACCCATGATTAGTTAAAGTCGTTCTTTCTAGAACTGCATTTCTTCGCTTTATCAACAGAAGGGTTCATCTGATGTGTGTTTGCCTGGTCTCTGGGCTAACCTGCAGATTTGGGGAGCGTGGTATGTGCTGCCCGCTCCATGCTCAGCTCTTCTCCTGTCCTCCTTGGCACTGGCATGCGACGTACGTGCAAAAGACAGACGTGGTGAACGGTGGGGATGGAGGGAGAACAAGCTCTTCTTTCCTGCCCTCCTGGTTGACTTCCCGGAGTTATGAAAGCCCCCGGCACACCGTGCCATGCCCCGCCACCCCTCAGCCCATGGGCTGATCTCAGCCTCCATCTCAGCATGCACATGAACGCTAAACCCTGCCAAAGTAAAATTCCTGAAGCAGAATAAAAACTGTGGAAGACTTTCAAACCCAGAGATTATTGAACTGTCCCCCTTACCAAATGGCAGTCAATACTGCGTTCTTTATAAAGTCTCTAGTATAATGTTTAATTCAGTAACTACAACTGGAAAGTCTTTCCAATTATTTTAAACTGCCAGAGACATTTTAATGTGCCTCAGATTTTGTGTTGGCATGCCACAGAGTTAAGTGCCATCCATCTTTTGGAGAACTTTAAAATTTAGTTTCGTATAAAAAGAAAAAAGGGAAAGAATCCTAAAGGGCGTACTTGTCCCATGAACCCCACCACCATTTGTGGCTTCACAGACACCTTCTCCTGAGTTTTGAAATTGTTTGTCTCCCTCTGTGCAGGGTGAGAGATCCATACAAACAGCCAAAATCTTTAATTCCTGCACAGAGCTTCAGCTGAGGGCAAGATTGCGAGCAGCTCTCCACTGGCTGCCCCCCCGCCGACCAAGGATGTAAAAGGTTGAGAAAGCCCAAATATCTTCTGATTTCTTTTTTGTGCCAGCCTTCCGGCTGCTGTTAGTCCCAAAGCCACCGAGGTGCCTGTCCCCGCCAAAAGCTGCCGGCACGGCCCTGCCGCTGGGTGCGAGGGAGCGGAGTGCATAGTGTCGCTGCCTTGGTTAGCCTTGCTCCCGCTGTGTGAGCGTCAGTAAGTGGTAGAAAGGGACTCTCAGCATCCTTGTACTTCTTTTTCCTTTTTTCGTCTCTTTTTTTAATCTTCTTTTTGCTTTATTCCTTCTCCCCGAGCTCAGGGGCACGTGTACGCTGAGCGTGTGCATCTCTGCACCCGGCAGAGGGGGAGAAGGGGCAGGCAGAAGGTCTTATAAAACCAGTTCTGCTCTATTAAGATTCATTCTGGTACGACAATGGCTTTTTCTATTGAAATGCTTTGTGAAATCCTTGCCTAATGATCTGTTAGCTGGGGAAAGGTTAAATTCCTGGAAGATTTTCTGTGTTTGATGAAGAAAAAGCAGTGCAATTATCAAGAATTCAAAGTGAGTTTTAGCCAGCTGTTAATAATACTGCGACTCTTCATGTTCTCATTACTCAGAAGTAATGTGGCCATCCCTAGTCATGGCAGTAAAATATTTATAGCATTCTCTTTTGGCCCTGTTTGTACTTATGGAGGGCTGGGCATCATTCAAAGTCTTCTAAATATGCTTCTTTTTGTGCTTTAGCCACCCATGACAGTTCTCTTCTCATCTAACAGCAGCTGTCTGCCCCAGAGATGTCCAGTTTAAGGCAGTCACCTCAGGAGCGGTCAGACATGCCCTTTAACCACTAGCAGTTGCACATCTTGTGCAGACTAGTCATCAAGGCTCTGCTGGAGTCACTGGGGAGACTGGTGCTTCAAGATTCACACCATCCTGAGAGAGCTGCCGAGGATAAAGGAGATAAATAGGCTCGATGCCCAATATTCTCGATACCAAGCGTGCCCATCTGAACGGTCTGGTTTGATGCAGAGACAGGCTTATTAGTAGTTGTCTGCTCTTTGCAGCCTTGTTGTAGTTTGCAGGTAGGTTTGTATGCTGGGAGACCACTGGAAACGTTCAGGAGCAAGCCCCAGCCATCTGCACGTTCCTCCTGGTTCTCTCCCCAGTCGCTGAGGTTTCCAGCTCGGAAAGCCATGGCAGAACATGGAATACACGTGGCATCTCTGCGTCCAGGCACACGGAAACGAAATAAGTGTCATGGGGAAAATATAATTTCACAGTGGCAGGCCCCGCACTGGGATAAACAGACAGCTTGTTTCCTCCTGTGGATGCATGGAAAATCAATTCCCAGTCCTCTGCAGAGGCTCCTAAACATGAACTAAATCCCCTCCTGTAATACTTAAGAACTGTAACTGTTTTGCACCAGTGAAAAGGTTTAATTTCTAGCAGGGGAACTGCAGGTAACACCTTTTTGCTGTCTTCGTGCTGTCATTTAGGTGTCTATCTTATCCTCTTTATAGGAGTCTCATTCAAGTGCAGCTTTTTGCCTGGAGGTCTGAAGTAAATGAGTATTAAGTAACTGTATCTGTCTCTAATTCACTAAACATCCAGAAAAACAGCTAATGTGCCTGAACCGGTGGGATGAATACATTAGATTAATCTAATTCAGTTACTTTTCACTCAAGCAACCAGTAGCGTTTAGAAAAAGGTTGTGAAAGGGATTAGGAATTTCTTTTCCACATTTTTCCTTTCTTCTCCTTTCCATGACTTTGCTGCATTTCGTTAAACGTTAGCTACTCAGCTTATTTCCTTGACCCTCCTTAAAACATTGCTTTAAAAATAAGTTTATTCTTCTCAGAACTCGCTCCGTATTCACCGAGGCTTTCAGTGACCAGGAAAGGCGATGGAACAAGCGCAGACGTACAGGCTGTGAGCAGCTTATCCCGACCGGCGCGAGCAGCTCCTGGCTGCCGCTGTCTCACTTGCACCTTGGTCCAGCGATGCGGGCACAGGGAATCTCAGGACATCACCCCTGGGCTTACAGCAACTCCCTGAGCATGCGGTCACCTCCTCTCCATCCCCTTGGCTCCCTTGGCTGTGGTGGTGCCTGCTAGCGCCTTAGTGCCACAGCAAGTCTGATATATGTCTCCTCCGCTCCTTTATGCTCCTCTTTATTGGAAATGTATGAAGAGACCCGGAGCAGGCTACCTAGACCCTTCAGTTTAACAGCGAATTACGGGTAGCTGCTCTCAGCGTGCGTATTTCTCACCGCAGTTCAGTCTAGATCAGGGTTACCTCACTTTCTGGAGAGAACATCGTGTGCAGTCCTGTCAAAAGCCTTAAAAACCGTCAAGGTATAAGACCTAAACAGCTGTTATACTGCCCACAAGCCCTGCTCTCCTGTCAGTAGATTGCTTCAGTGAGATTTGTTCTTGACACATTCCTGTGGCTGTTGATCATCTCCTTATATCTTGTAAGTGCTGACAAGCAGCTTGATTATTTGTCCAAGTATTTTTCTGGGACCTGAAGCTGGCCTGCCTACTCTGGAATTCCCCAGCACCTCCTTCCCCTCTTCTGAAAGTGGAGCCCTTGGTCTGCCCTCCCCAGCCCCCTCAAACCTCCCCATCAGCTCCTCACAGTTCAGTGGTTGCATCTCCAAGGCTGCTTCAGGAAGCTCGCCGAGTGTCCTGGGATGTGGTACAACAGGCAGGGATGATGGAAAACACCATAGTTACCTTATTGCCCTCTAACCAAACCTCTTCTCGCTGTCACCTGAGTTCTTATCCTGTTATCGCTGGCATTAGCTTCATCAGACATTTGATTGCTTTTGAATTTTTAGGGAAGATTGAAGCATAAAAAAGACGTTAAGCGTTTTGGCTCTCCCAGCAGCGCCCCCTGCTAATGTCTCTCCTCACTGAACAGCGGGGTTGGCTTTTTCTTTGGGCTGTACTTCTGCTGCTGGCTGGTGCCCTGCTGCTCATCGAGGCCACAGCGTGGCAGGGGAGATGCCAGCAGGGGAGCTTTGGGGCTGTCAGGTAGGACACGAATCCTGCAAAGGAACCCCAGGAGGGCCACCCCAGCAGCAGAGCCTGGCCGTGCTGTCGCCAGGCAGGGAGCCCTCCTCTTTCCCAAGCTCAGGAGGTGGCACGAAGCTCCTCTCCGTGTGCAGAGCGGAGGTTAGCCGGGTGCGTGGGGCACACCTTGGAGGCTCTGCTTCATTATTGCTAGGGTTTGGTTACTGCACAGGGGGCTGTGGGAGTGGAGGGCAGGCGGTGGCAGCATGCAGGAGAGGTGGCTGAGATCTGGCAGCCCCGGGGTGGTGATTCCCTCCCCTGGTCCCCAGGAGCTGTGGAGATCCGCTCTGAAAGAGATGCAAGGCAGGATAAGCACAGAAAAGGCTGAACTTTCCTTGCCAAGAGCAGATGAAAGAGATGTTATAAAGTCACTTGACTCTGGTGACATGGCCCCTAGCTCTGACACAGCGGTGGAGGGCATCCAAGTTTCATGCTGGAAGGAGATGAGCCCACACCTGGAATTCTATCCTGGTTTCAAAGGTCAGGTGCACTTCTGCGGTTACCGATGTCGTGGGGATGGCATTTGACCCTGGCTCATCCTAGACAGAAGCCGAGGTCTGATGGACAGCAGGATCCTTTGAACCTCCCTGGAACTAGCTTTCATTTGAATTACAAGCTGTTTTTTGTTTCTTCCCAGCCAGGTCTCTAGACAAACTCTATAACTTTGCTGACTGCTCTGGCCTTCACCTGATCTTTGCACTGAATGCTTTGCGCCGAAATCCCAACAACTCCTGGAACAGCTCCAATGCCCTCAGCCTGCTGAAATACAGTGCCAGCAAGAAGTACAACATCTCCTGGGAGCTGGGCAACGGTGAGTGTGGGAACCGGAGAGCCACGGGAGCAGAGCTCGCTGTAGCAGAAAGCTATTCCCTTTTGGAAGAGGATATTTGCAAATCCCGGGATGTTTTGCTAATGTAGGTTCAGAGGGATTTGAAGGCCCCTGCTGTAAGGCAGCACCATCTCTGGCATGTGTTTGCACCTTAGCTGGGTGTTCCCATCAGTTGGTGTTAAGCACATGAAATGCCTCTGCCCTGGCTGCTGGGTACAGCTGGTCCTGGGGCGGGCAGACCAGCGGCTGTATGGACTTGCACGGTGGCTGCAGTGCCCGGGGAACTGGGGGACCCTGCAGGGACAGGAGCGTGGCACCAAGGCACAGGACCTTCACCCAGCACACAGCAAGAGGGACGCAGGAGGAGGTGCTGGCATGGGAGAGCAAGCCATGGCCCTCATCCACGCCTCAGAGGCTCCTTCTGCTGCTCCGCAGAGCAGGCAGGCAGCTCCGTGGAGCTCAAGCTGTGCGACAGCGTGTGAGCTGTGTGTCTCTCTCCGGAAGCATGGATGAAGGAGCAGAGCTGGCAAGCCTTGCGTGTCTATTTTTATTTTCCCAGAGCCCAATAACTATCGGACCCTGATCGGCCGCTCGGTGAACGGCAGCCAGCTGGGGAAGGACTACGTCCAGCTGAGAAGCCTGCTGCAGCTTATCCGCACTTATTCCAGAGCAAACCTCTATGGGCCGAACATTGGGAGGCCCAGAAAAAACGTCATCGCTCTCTTGGAAGGGTAAGTGGTGTTGCTTTGATCAAGAAGAGATCAGAAACCCCTCCCGAGACTGATGCCCTTTGCAGAAGGTAGAATTGCTCTTTGGCTTCCCGATGTCCAACAGCTGCCAGGACAGCACGGCCCTGTGCAGGTCAGCCACTGCAGTACCAGGGCTTTGCAGACATGGTCATCCGTGCTGCTGAACTTCTGCAGAGGTTCCTGGTGGGCTTTTGGGCTGGGCTGAGCACACTCTCCCAAGTATTCCCAGCGTTTCCCAATTACAGGCAGACTGAGGTGCCCGCCTTGTTGGGATATGAAGATATCGCTGTGGTATGGATGCAGGCTGCTGCATGCCTGTGGGTTGCAGCACCAGGAGGTGGGTCCTGGTACCGCTTACCAGTGTAGATGTTGCTTCAGAGTCCTCCTGGACAAATTGCTTTGCTCTTCCCCTTTGGTGGCTTCTTCTCCCTGCGCTTTCTCCACCTGTGCAGAGAAGAACCTGTAGCAACTTTCTTCACTGACCAAGCCTTCTGCTCCCTCCTAGGAGAATTGGCATGTCTCTAGTTTGGGGAGGCCAGAGGTGGAGAAGGACTGGTGACAGTGAGGGACGCAGACACCTGGAGGTGAC